CAAATAAACTTCAAAACACCTACAACGTAAGCTTACAGTTTTATTATCGAAACAGTTTGAAAGACATTGGTTAAATCGGAAATTTTTGAGCATATGCTTTGGATGACATTCCTCGGTTGTGCATAATCCAGTCTTATATCCTTTCTGGGTCATGATTATATACCTTGCATAGAAAAATAGAGTACAAAGTTTTTCAATTCCCGACAAATCAACCATATTGTTATCTTCCATCGGTCAACAATTGATGATGATAATGATAATTTATAGAAATTGGCCGTGCATCTAACATATTGCTTTTAAGAGTATTCAATCTTTGCCATATTGGAAGACACGTGTGCCTCTCGCGCCTCGTTTTGACCATATGGCGCTTATTTGTTTGTAAAACTAATTTTAGAGCAAAACGGAATTGCACGGGTCGTAATTGACGTAGTCGACGATGACTAGGATGCTGCAAGTTGGAGATTTTCAAATATTATAAATTTTGAATAAGTAATTAAATACTTTATATCCTGTAATCGTTCAACACGCTCAGCTACAAACGGACAAAACTCAGCTCTCTAACGGACAAAACATCCAAAAAGCGACATCCTACGGTATTTATATTCTCAGTTCGCCTTCTCAGAAAAGTCGTTAGAGATTTGAAATTTACATGATTCGCTCCGATCAGGCCTTGAAGTATCGATAGTTTATAGTTTACCTCTGCATCGATAACAACATTCTATTGTTTTGAGCAGAGTAAAGCCGTAGAAATTTTTACGATATACGATACGATATACGATCATTTATATCATAAAAACATTTGTGCAATCAGCCTAAAGGTATGCTAAAGGTAGTATGAATATTCGGTTGGTTGTTTTCGAACAATCTGCAGGGTATCTTACGATCGACTCTTATCTAATTAATCTTCAGTTTTGGAATATGCATGTTATTTTTAAATTCCGAACAATGAATAGCCTGATAGTTATTTTAATTCGATTTCTTGATAGACAGATGTATGAAAAAATAATCCGATTTTGTTTATGATTTCCCGGCTATTAAATAGATTGGTTTTCTACTTAAATTAAAAACATTTAGAAAAATGAACCTAAAGGTGCAGACTATCGGATACCCTAATAGAAAATAAATTCGTCAAATATTACCTGAATATCGCACCAAATCTCATCTATCTTACACAATTCAAATTATTGAATAAATATCTCACTCACTTAATAAAATGTCTAGACGAAAAATGTAGAAACTGCTCGTCGCGAACATAAATGATATAAAAAAGTGTAGTGTGTTTTTTTGGGTGCCAGGCCGGTTCATTTTCGTGACTGGCCGGGCCCAGCTCTAGCCAGGACAAACTCTTATACTGAATACATATACTCTTATACAAATACATATACATGTTATTCGCCATTTTTCAGCAGTTCAATGCAGTTCACTTAAGAGCTGACCGATACCTCATGTTTTTTGTCTGTTCCCGACCTACAATTGTCGCTTATCAGTTTCAGAAATGGTTGGGGGGGCTCGAGTTTTTCAAATTTCAGTCTATTTTCTTGAGTGTGACATTCCAATTGCATTATCACAGTGCAAACAAAATGAAATAGTTTGTGCTCTTTGTGTAAGCCTAATGCTGGTCAAAGGTACAAAGTGCAAGTTCCGGTAAATGAGCCAGATAATATATTTCTAATAAATACAACTTTAATTAGTCTTAAAATTCAATAAAAAAGGTAGATTAACAGTAGGATCATTACTTAAAGTAATTGAAACAAAAAAATATAAATTAAGAAATCTCTTTTCAGATATTGAAGCTGACTCTGATGAAAATATCTTGGAATACAGAATATAATGCCATATAAGATGCTCCTGTTCGACCGATCTTTCCCATAATAGCTTTATAAAATAGTGCTCCGATGTGATCGGTTCCTGCAACAGAATGACAGATCTATGCAAGGTCTAAAGACGAAAGCATAGAAACAGACAGACGGGCCAGGCTAACAGATATCACCTCGGCTGTTGATGCTGATCTAGAATATATAGAATATACCTATATATATATATATATATATAACCGTTTACACGGTTTTGATTGAACACAGTTTGAAAATAAAAAAATTCTTAAATTAAATTTTATACGATTTTAAGCCACGGGAATTCCCATTTTGTGTACACTTGTAAATTTACTGCTCACAGCAACTGTAAATAGCACAAATTTAGGGGAATTCCCTATTTGTCTAGCAATTTTCGTACATTTCATTTACATTATTTTTAATGTTTTTAATTATAAGCTTAGAGTGCTCTAATAAATTACAAATAATCAACATCAAGTCAGTCAGTACACTAAATTAAGGATATACATATATAGAGCAGAGCAGATATTACCCGGCGCCGCCCGGGTCAAATGCCTTTTAAAATAAAGCACAAGAAAATGTGGAATCAAAATCAGTTTAGCAGCTAAAAAGTATAAAACAAGAATACAATTTTCACTCCCAAACAAAGAAATGTAATAAGAAAGAGTATTTGCCAGTTTAATGCGTTTACCTTCGCGTTCCCGAGCGTGGGTTGGTTCGATGTGCGTTGTTATCAGGTTCTTTTGATAATCTGTTTGCGAAGCCTAATCAGAGATTCGAAATAGCTAATTTGGTGTGTACCAATGCAATATGAATCAGCCAATTTATTGGGGGGGGCTTTTGTTGTGGTCTCTCATCGGCTAATGGAACATTACTCATGCGAAGGAATTCCTGCGCCCGATCAGTCATTTCATTTGATTGATAAGTCCATCACATTGGACATAATTAGTGTCTCTCTGGGCCATCTACTAATCATTTACAAGTCCAGACACTCCAACAAAAAAACTCTTTTCGTACGGTTACAATTAATTAGACCACAATGGGAATTCAGGCCCAATGGCAATCGAACCAATTTGAAGGCGCCTAATTGAATGCTCCGAGGCATTTAAGTACGGACTCGGTTCGATATACACGGATATGGGTTGTTATAAGGCGTATATATATGTATATACTTAAGGCCTGCACTGACACATGTTGTATGTAATTAATGGTGCTTCGACCTGGGCTTACGATTGTGGAACTAACCAGGGAACAGTAGGCGTAGCTCTGGCTACGAAAAGGCTTGGCGTGTCAATGTCAAATAGTCCGACTGACAGCTCCCGAGAGTGTGTATCTGTGTAAGCTAACATGTGTGTGCGTGTGCGTGTGTGTGTGTGTTGGGTAGCGCATAAATTTCGTACAAGGTGTGTCCCTAGTCCTGGCTTTGCAGGATTTGCTATAATTTAAAAGCATGCCAACCAACACGGTTCAGATATTTGCCTCGCGTGCAAAAATGTCAAAGGACACATGGATATATGATTGGGAATCGCTGTTCACACACGTGTCGCCTACCGCCCCCCCCCCCCCCTCCCCCCGACCAACCCCTTCCCCCACCCATTGTAATCAGCGGCCTTCAAGGGTTAGTTAGCCAAAGGCCATCACGTGCCTTGCCCTGGGCAAATTTTGTTATTAATTATTAATTAATTTAAATTGCCGACACATTAAGCTGGTAACCGGAGATCAGCATTGAAATTAAATGCCTTGTAATAATAAAATTATTTTAAAATCAAGGTAGCAGGCATATAGGCGTAACACCTAGGAGTCCCTCTCAGCCAGACTCTCAAGAGATTATTAGGACTAATAAGTTTTCGGTTTCTTGTTGATTTGCTAGATATTATCATACTTAATATTAATAAAAATATGTTAATAATGTTAATTTAAAAAAAATAAAAGTTGACTAATACACTAACTCTTATACTAAGTGCAGAGTAGAGGGAACAAAGTGTGTTAAATATATAACATTTGTTCGAAATTCGAGTTCAGACTAAGCTACGCGGTATCTGCTAGTCGAGCTCTTTCCACCGAAGCACTGTTACTTGCTTCAGCGGCCTTTTTGTGGTTTGGCAGCACTGAAACTTAAGATCTCTTGGCTGTCGGATGCCGTAGAAGTGAGTCCATCGACATGGTGACCCATTGGCAATTCAGTTTCATTTTCATATGATTTCATTAACTGAGTTGCCCGATCCAAGAAAATCGAACCAGCTTATCGGTAATTAAAATTATTGGGTTTCTGCTCTGGTTGTCCAAAATATCATCAAAACAAAAGTGAACACAAATTAACACGAGCAACACGCTGTCAGAATAAACATAAAATCAATAGATAAGCATGTTGATATTGACAAGTGCATAATATTTGCTTGACAATAGACAATTTTAATACTCTGACATGGGACTCGACATGACTATTCAGAAACTAAATGTCTGTTGGCAGAATCTGACTTCGATAACATTTTCCCAAGCACTGTTCGCATTTTGTAATAACAAATAAAGTAAATAAAATCTGCATATATAAGTATATATATCGAATCAAAGACTTGTAATAGATCCTACTTTGGCACGTGACAATCTGGCTCTGAGTCATTCGGAATAATCAAAGCGACACAAGAATCTCCATATCACTAATCAGTAATTTAACGGTTTAATAGAACACCGTTATTCTTATCAGACAAGGAATCTTGATAATTGTGACTCAACTCCAGAGTACGCCAGGTCTGTCGCTTACCAAGAATCTCTAGGAGCCTTAGTTTCTGTGTAATTATAACAACGTAGCCCGCATTCCCTGGTTAACCCGATGCACTTTCTCTAAAGGGTTTATTATTGAATTTATGTCGTAAAGTAATAATAGAATATGGCCATATCAGGCACCTGAGCAAGATTGTGCAGCTGATAAGACTCAGTACAATAGTTGGACGCATGTGAATGCGTGTTCCATGTGATAAACGGTTAATCTTATTTTCGGCGCGTTTATCTGATGGTAAAGCTTCTTCTATGCTCAGCGCTGTTGTGGCAGCGCAGTCAGCGTCAGCGTCGACGTCGCCGTCGCAGTCGACGCTGTTCCTTCCAACCGTTAGGCGCTCTGTTTCAATTTCAGTTGCGAGTTGCTTTGCGTTGCGTGCGGTCGGCTTTGTCGTTCGTTCGTGTTCGTGTTGAGAAAAAATTACGTATACGACGCGGCTGCAATTCGAAGAGCCGAAAGACGCGCTTGAATCGCGCCTCCTTGCGGCCTTCGCCAAATAATTAACTGTAATCGTCTTGATCCCATATTCGCTTTGATTTTCCCTTCGATAAGTCAACGGCGTGACAAAGGTTTGTCCATTCGTGTTTACCTGCCATATTCTCTATAATTTACCTAGTTTGCGCGGGTTTTTTTTTTAAAAACTTTATTCTATTTTTAACTAGTACGACTCAAGTGCTGTACCTTAAATAATATTAACTAGTAGATGTTACCCGGCTTTTCTTGGTTTTTGGAACAGCCAAATGTTCCAAATTAAATTCAAAATGAATATTGGGAAATGTGTTAAGTTTCATTCACGAGTTCCACTTTTAATCATTTTCTCATGGAGAAAATAAAAATATTATTATTAATATTAAAAAAAAAAGGGTGCAAAAATAGTAAATAATAGTAATAATATAATATCTAACCTTGTCATAAATTTATTTTAACACTTAAGCGATATAATACAAAAAAAAAACCGTCTATATCGCAGATAAACAAATTGTTACAACTAACTCGAAGAGATAACGCTTATCGATAAGAGAGAGCATGTAAAACATTGCGATTCCATGAAATTGGGACAAACACGTCACAAAGTAGCAGCATGTCAAGGCGGACGGGTTGACGAGTCTGAAATACTTCAGCTGGTAGAACCCGTCAAATAGACCTGGCCAAACCCGAAGAACAGATATGACAAAAAAACCAAAACCAAAACCAAATAAAGCCATAAATACTGAAGATAAGCATTCATATAAGGTAGATAAATGCTAGTAAATAGATAGTTCCTGGTTGCCTATCGTTCAATATTACGGAAAAGAATATAAACGCGTGAGTCAGAGTACGGCTATATCGGGTCCCATCCCAACTGAGCGGTACACCTTGCCCATGTTTAGTATGGGGCTTATCACGGACTTTGACAAACGACCGACAGAGGCCTCTGCCCGGGACCCGGCATTAACATGCCACTATCAGCGATATAGCGATAACTGATAAGTTGCAAGTCTCTTTACTTAACACAAATACCAACTACTATACGTATAGTCTTTGTTTTTTTGTCTTTTATGAAAGAGTTAACTTGTTTGGCGTTACGTTCCAATTGTCGCGTACACATAGCCCAACCGATTGAATGGAAATGCATCTGAATGCATTTGTATATTCATATTGATGTTGAGGTCAATATCAGGCACTCTTGGGCGTATTTGGCAATGGCCTGGTGCAATCAGTCGTCTGAAAAGAACATCTGTTATAGATATATATTTAGAGGAATGCGATATGCATATGAAGCATACGTGGACTGACCTGGCACTGCCTTGGGCGTATGCCATACACTCTGTGCGAGCGAGTACATTGAAATTAGCAGCAGCTTGCAAATTTTCTCATGCTCTATTAACAGTAATTACTTATCAAGCTGAACCTATAATTACATGGAGCAATTACGTACATTGCAGGGATTTAATACTTGCGAATGCAAGGACTATCCGGAATATATGCGCAAAGTACGCAAATGTATATAGTGTATGTATAAGACCTGTATATATATACGTGAATGATTTAGTTTTTAATGAATGTGCGATTCAATCAAGGGTTGAACTCTCATATTATAATCTAGAGGTTAGACCCCGGTTTTGCTCTGGCCATGTTTTTTTTATTTACATGTAGAAATTACTCTTCTGGTACGACCAGAATTGAATCTTTGACCAAATAAATAAGAACATTAAAGTCGATCGATTTCAAATTTGAACTCTGAACCGATTATTCCTATTCTGGCTATATGATAGTATGGTACATGGCTATATCAACTCGACAGTTGTTACTGATCAAGAATATTTTGACGTTATTTAGAAAAATATTGAAGCGCACACTCGACAATTCTCTGATCTCAGATTATAGAATACTTTTTGCCAGCACAGCAAGAGGCTGCACTCATTGCCCCTCCGCTCCCGCCAATGCCTTCCACAATCCATGCAAGCCTTTTGCCGACTCGGCCGAATTCGAGCTCAGCCTGGAAGCCCAGTTGCAGTCGTATTGTAGATTTCTCTCGTTTCGATTTGGTGAGCGGTACATTTGCCAGACTCTTCGTGTGTGGGCTCAAATATCTGCATAAAGCAATAAACCTAGTCTTTTGTATAAGCGATTCTTCCTATATAGCTACATGATATGGTGGTAAGCTTTGGTCAAGATCTCCTAAGATGAGTGCACAATATATGTGAATTATTTAAAGCACATTTTATTTGTAACTTTTTGATTTAGTCAAGTTGTAGAGCATATATCATCCATGTGAAAGAATATCGCGAACAGTTTTATTCACTTTAAATTTCATAGATCCTCTCGTGCATTGCACAATATTGTCCGAAATGGAATCATGATTGCTATTGATAGCATTTTGTGTACCAAAGTTCATCATTGGCAATAGTTGACTAAAATCAAGGCACAATAAAATAACCACGCGATTAAGTCTTCGATTAAAAGAGGCCCATTATGTTTAGTTTTATCTTATCTTCAAGTTACGTTTGATCGACTTTTTATGCTTGCCTCACATTTACAATCTAACTATTATTGTCAGCAGTTAAAACTGATTAAAACTGCAGCTTTGTTCGAGCAAAAAGAGTATTGATAAAACCATAGGAACTCATTTATACACTACATGTGCCAAAGTCAATAATAATAATGCATTTTGGGGGAGCACTACATAATTTAGCTATCGACTGCAGTTGACAATTACAGATGATCTGGGAATAAATTACAACTGGTGTGCATTAGTTACAAGTATTCAATTAAAAAGTTAAGAATCTACTACAATATATGGCTATGTACAAATACTAATAATTGTTTTATGAACTATTTGCGTTACAGTAGAGAATTCGAAGCCCATCAAAATGGATGCCCCCAACCAGCCGGAGCAAAATAATAAGTTCATTGTGAAATATCGGCAGCAGTATTATGATTTGTCCGACTTTATGCACAAACATCCGGGCGGAATAAACAGCCTAAAGGGTCTCAGTCAGACAGACATGACATCTCGTTTTATGAAGGCGCCGCCACATTCCGATGCAGCCATGTACTTGATGAGGGAGTACAAGGTAAGCGCACAGGATCACGGAAGTGATAAAAGGACAAATGAGAGGCGTACGGATAAGTCGGCAGAGAATGGAGTTGAGCTGCTGGAACAACAACAAAAATCGGAGGACAGCAACAACAATCAATTGGATGAAAGCATGGAGGTGAGTGTTAGTCTTCAGTTTTCTCTTGAAAATCCACATTTCTCCTTCACTCTTGCTATTTATTTATTTTTTTTTTATATTTTTTAGTTTGGTGTCTGGGGTTCTGACATTCTAGTTATTTCATTTTTTTTACATTTTTCTTGATGCTCATTTAAAAAATATAAATACTATGAACACACAAAAGACTAGGTTTGGTCCAAATCCTCCAATAGTCATATAGTTGGGAATATTGTTGCAGGCGATATTTCCTGTTGGTTGAAACCGTTCGATTTTCTATTTTTATGAGTGGGAGAATCTTTTTGTTTCATTTAACATTAACAAAATTTTGCGTGCATTAGAGATTTCGCGATTTGGCTGCTCTCACATACACCTTAGGCTTGGAGTAAATGCGTATTTCGTCCTCGACAACGGTCAGCTCCTTATCAATCTCAGCCTTGCGAGAACGCACGCGTAGTGTCTGGGCGGTCATGGGCATGTGGTTTAGCTCATTAATGAGCATATCAAAGCCTACAAGGTAAACATGAAAATGTATAATAAATCCAGGTGTAAAATTGGCTGCAACTTACGCTGCTTGGCGGTAGCTAGCGCAGCCAGGCGATCCGGTTCACTCATCAATACATGACCGCGTGGGCAGTCTGGATCGCGTGAATCTATAAGTTCTTTAGCCTCGGCTTTTTCGCGCTTCTCCTTTTCCAAATAGCGCGGTAGGCGTAGATCATCGCGTGCTGTAAAAGCATCACGGCAGTTAGCTAACTAGATGCACAGATTATTCACTTGTTATACTCACAGCCCAGCTTGTGTTCGCGACGCTTTGATTTGGTCGTAGCATTTGAAGCCACGGTAGCGATTGTTTCGCGACTGCGTGCACTCAGTGGTGCTTCTTCATCAGTATTATCGGGACCTACATTCTCCATCTCTGGCATGGGCATTGTTTCGTTGTCATCTATATCAAGAAGACTGTGTTTGGAGCGTGCCGACAGCGGCTGCTCATCGTCATGGTATTGACTGTAGCTTCCGTAGTTGTCATCGTAGTCGAGGTCAGGATCAATGCATGACTTGCGTTCCTCGCTTAAAACCGTCTTGCCATCAATGTTGCACCTGCACACATAGATGTGTTCGGAAAGTTAGTTCAGTTCGATTGCTTTATGCTGGTTTAAATGAGCAGGTACTCACTTTTTAAGTGCATTGGTAAGGTAAAGCTCATCCTTTATGTCCTCTGTCTGTATGCCAATGCTTGCGGAGCTGCGTTCGGCATTACATGACTGACAGCGGTTCGATGATGTCTGAACCGGCTGCGCTTTTGGGCGAACCTTCTCCTTTTGAATTTCACGTTTTTCCGGGGGTGCGCAAGACTCGTGTTCGTCCGGTTGTGGTTTGTCCAGGCACTGCTGCAAACGCGAGTTGCTGTGGCTGCGCAATAAACACACCTCTTCATCAACATTCCTTGAAGATAATCTTTCGGTTTCGCACTTCTTCGACTCACGTTCACGTGCCTCGGACGGAGTGCGAAGTAGTGGAGGCATCCATTTGGGACGCACTGGCTCCTTAGCAGCAAGCTTCTCTGTAGTTGCCTTTTCTAGGGAACGTAGGCTCTTTTTGTTTTCCTTTAGAAAATTACGTCCCGGTGCGACGCCTACAAGAAAACGAATGCCAATCGTGTAAACATTTCTTTTTGGTTGCCATGGCTGTTTGAAAAAAATTATACTTACGCGGCACCGAAAACATGCCCTTTAATGTGGGTATTGGGCGTATTGTGGTGTTCGACATGTTTTTTTCTGAATGTGGCCTAACCACAATGCGTCTAATCTGTGTTGAAGAATTTATAAGGAATTTAAATATTGCCGTGTTCTGCAGCTTACAGAAACGGAATGAAATCAGCCAACCTGTTCAAATGTCAGCTTTGAAGTAAAACCAACCAGCTGCTCGAGACGCCAACGTTTGATGGTTTTGAATTTATCGATAGGTCGATGATAGAGTCGAAATGAGCGCTGCCACTGTTCAAAAGTATCGACAAATTGATGATATCGTATAAACGGTTTTTTTTTTAAATTTTCAGCACCTCGTGGACTGGTCGAAAGCTATGCTGCCCCAAATTTCAAAAATAACAAAATATTACGACGAATGGGTACATAAGCCAGTAGACAGACCCCTGCGCTTGTTCGGTCCTTGGTATTTGGAAATGTGCACGAAGACTCCATGGTGGGTTGTCCCAATGTTCTGGATCCCAACGATTATTGCTTGCGGCTGGCCAGAGTTCCAAGCGAACTCGCACAATATGAAGGAAGTAAGTTTAAACAGCGCGTAATGACTATAACAGACATTTACTTATCAGTATCCCTACAATTAGATTGCCACCTTCTTCGGCCATCTGCTCTTTGGTGTAATATTTTGGACACTGCTGGAGTACACATTGCACCGATGGGTCTTTCATGTTAAGTTGACTAGCAACAGTGGCCCTTGGCTTTGCACTCTTCACTTTATGATTCACGGACTGCATCACAAGGTCCCATTTGATCCGATGCGGCTTGTTTTTCCTCCATTGCCTGGAGTTGTGCTTGCTATTGTTATTTATACACCACTCAGTTTTCTTCTACAAAATCACCATCCGCGTTTGGTACTCACGGGTGCTTTAATAGGTTATTTATGCTATGACATGATACATTATTATTTGCATTACGGTAATCCATCGGCGGGTCATCATTTGTATCACATGAAGAGGTATCATTATCAGCATCACTTTGCTCATCAAGATCTCGGATATGGTATTAGTAGTCCCATTTGGGATATTGTTTTTAAGACACGTATAAATTTACGAAAATTAAGATACCAATTGCGATGGTCGTAGTAGCCAAGTCACATTTTGCTACGTAAATAAGAACAAATTTGTAATGTAGGTTAAGAAAAAGTAAGATGACAATTTTGTAAAACTTTAAGAAAAAACATATATTTAAATAAAATTATATTATATTGTGTATAATAATAAATTCACACTGAGTACAATAGATGATGTTAAATACACATATTTATTTGCCGATGCGCAGCCAAAATATATTGGTGAAACACAAATTAAAGCACAGTGTGTTTCTTTTTGTTTAAATAGCTTGGGCCAGCTAAAAAATTATTATTATTTTTTTTTAAATAATAAAATGGTAAATCAAGACCATTTGAGTAAAATTTATATGGCGCATCGATGAGCACAGAGATTTAGATAATTTTGATATCGATAGCTGGGCTTTCGATACGCGGAAAATCCAAACATTGAGAATGGTGGCAACGCTAATCGCAGTTGAGAAAGTGTAGCCAGCACCTATTTATTTACTTTATTGTTTTATTTTATAATAATGCTTAATGCAAAAATTGGTAAAGTTGGTAAGGTGTTGGTGTGTGGCATGAAAAATGTGGGAAAAACAGCACTCATCGAGCAGTTGGTGTATGGAAATATCAACGCGGATACTGTGAGTTGGCCGAAACTATTCTGTATTTGTTCCTACTTACCAATACAAACAAAAAATTTAATTACTCTTAGGAACTACACCCAACAATTGAGGATATATATGTAGCAAGCGTGGACACAGGACGTGGTGGCGCACGGGAAACACTACGCATCTACGATACAGCTGGATTGCAAGGTGAACAAGCGGCTCAGCTGCCGCGTCATTATCTGCAATTTCCAGATGCCTTTGTGCTAGTCTATGATCCCACTGATCCGCGCAGCTTGGATATGTTGGCAGACATCAAGACAGATATAGACAAGCATAAGGAGAAGAAAGAAGTGCCTGTAATTGTATTAGCAAATGTCCGAGCGCGCAACAAAAAGGACACGCCGCCCGCCACGCCAAATCCTGTGGAATCGATAATGGATCGGGCCAATAATTGGTGTCAACGAGAACGCATCAAGCATTACACAGTCAATGTTATGGAACGCCCCTCGCTGTACGAGCCCTTCACAATGCTGTGTGCTCGTCTTCATCCGCCACAGACGAAGAGCACCTTCCCACAGCTGCGCCAGGTGATGCAGAATCGACAGAAAAGCGAGGTTTAGCAAGTGCAATCTACTTTGTTCCATATGCGTATTTAGAGAGTATATACACATATGGAACGAACTTTTAATTTAGAATAGAATTGACGAAGGAAATGACTAATGTGGAAGCCTGCGACTATTAACCGCCCCATTGAGTCTATTACTCTTATTAATAGGCTAAGCAATGGCGTTGCTCATGCAAATGTATTAAGTGTACTAAGTATAGATTACTGTGAATTATCTATAGAATCCAGCACATTTAGCAATTAAGCCTAATCAGCATTCAAGCTACGTCAGAGACAACCCATGTGAACTTTAAAACAACAGCGCCTGGCATATTTCAATTAAAATGCGGAGAATTGCGACGGCTTACCCCTTAGATCAGTATAAGTTTGACCCTCGAATAGAAGATGCGCGCCAAGTATTTCGTTATTGCCTTGGCGGCGATGCTAGCCAGCGTGCATGGTCTGGGCATAACAGTGCCCGGTACCAAATGGTGCGGCCCCGGCAATACAGCTGACAACTATAACGATCTGGGCAGTGAAGTAGAGCTGGACATGTGCTGTCGGCAGCATGACCACTGTGAGGAGAAGATTTCGCCCGACACCCAAAAATACGGTCTGACCAATGACGGTTTCTTCCCCATGTGAGTGCATAAAGATGTAAAGCGCTCATCGATGCTAACTGATAGCTACCCACAGCTTCTCCTGTGATTGTGAATTAGCTTTTCGCCTGTGCCTCAACTCGCTGCACAACATGGAGTCCGCCGCTTTAGGTCGTATATATTTCAGCACAACAAATGTGTGCTTCGCTTATGGGCCGCCCATCGTTTCCTGTCAGGAGCAGCAGTGGGACCACTTCATGAAGCGTTGCCTAACTTACAGCGAGGATGTGTCTCAGCCCGGTCGCTGGCAGTTTTATGACCTGGCATTCTACACGCACCCCAGCGAGGAGGAAAAGTAGCAGCTCGATTGAATCAAGGCGTAATTGCGTGATAAGCTAATACATTTACGTATGGCAGACAGACATACGAACAGAATCACATTTATACGCTAATATAAAATAAAATATTATTAACGATTAAAGCTCTCAGGGTCAAGATTTCTTTGTTGCCGCAATCGAATAGAATGGCATGTCATAGAATTGCCACAGCTTGGCCGCTCTCTTGTTCACAGTGTACCGAATGCATCGCCTGCGTATTGTGCCCAGCTGGTACTCCTTGCATCCGGTGGTGGGGTAGCCTTGGGCGAAACACCTGCTCCGCGTGGTATAGTAGATGCGACCCAAGGTGTTCGATGTCATGCTGTTTACGGCCTGCAGGCAGTTAATGAACTGCTGTTCGCAGCTGCACTTTAGTCTGGGAAAACCCAAATCTGTTTCAGACGGGCGGGATATTGATTTTTCCGCGGCACTTACATGGGAAACCAGTCGGTGTTGTTGGGTAGGCCATGAAGCGAGCTGTGCGATTCGATAATCTCCTCGCAGTGATCATGAGCACGACAACATTTATCCGTTTCACGCTCCCGTCCCAGATCATCGTAGTTGGCCGCCGTATTTCCCGGTCCACACCACTTGGTGCCGGGCGCTGTAATGCCTGTGTGCGCGACCGGAGGCAGCGCCTGATTGTAAATGTCTTCATCCTCAAAAATGGCCTCGTCTCCAAACGCAAATGCGGCTCCAATAAAGGAGAAGAATAGCAGCAAATGCACTGCTCGCATGATGATACGTTGCCTTTGAATTCAAAAGTGAAACTGAGCACCAGCTGCTTTGGCATTGACTCTGCCAGCCGCTCAGCTGATTAAGAGTCGCTGATAACAATTCGTTTACAATAAGCTTTAAGCAATAATATTTCATGAAGGTCCTTATGCCTTTAACATGTTATACAATACAAAGTTAATTAAAATGAATTTATTACGTACATACTAAGTAGTATATATATTTGTTTCGTTAGCTGACACGTTAGCTAAGTATATCCTTAAATAACTCGGTGGCTGTCTTTGCAGGGCGTTTTTTCGTCTGCGCCGGCTTCTCCTGCTCCTGCTGCTGACCCAGACTGGCTAGCCACTGACTGGGCGACAGCTTGTAGGTCTCCAAACGATATTTGGAGTGTATAAGGCTGCCATATGGAGAGCCTTTTAACATGTTGGTCTTAGAGCTCAATTCCTTAGCCATACGCAGCTTTTGCGCTTCTTGTGCAGCCTTGAAGCATTGCTCCATGACGCGTGAACCGTGCCGGGTGATAGCCAGGTCCACATAGAAGCCATCTAGCTGGCGGATAAGACGCTCTCGTGACTTCTCTCCAATGTATTTGCTCTGCAAGAAGGCATCGACAATGTGCGAGCCATTGGGTGTGTTAAGGATTTGCGCCAGCTGCACAGCAGGCAGCTCCAGAATGCAGTTGACTAGGAAGATGGGCTTATTGAACTGAAGCACATGTTGTACTATTAGCGATCCATGTAGATGCACGAAGGCGGACTGATCGTCGGCGATAAGCTCATGGGGCTTCAGTTTAACAAGACAGTTAAAGAACATCTTGGATTTCTCTTTGTCGCCAGCCACATGTAAGGCGGCCTGAAGTGCTCCTATCATCTGAGCCTGCTTGGCGCCCAAGCGCAGGCAGGCAGCGCTTAGGGCAGACACCACGCCCGTTAGACCCGTTTTCAGCAACTGCTCAATCTGTGGCTGTAACTCATCGAAGACTGACTCAAAGTCGGGCACATCTTTCAAGTGCTGTAGCAGACGCTGCACGGCAAAGTTGGTTTGTTGCCCTAGGGCCAGGTGAGCTACGCGACCGCTAAAAAGCATGGCATAAAGTTGAGTCAGCAGCTTTCCACCTGCCACAGTCAAAAGAGTCTCAAGCAGTATAACAGCGCACTGGTAATGGAAGACTTTGGGCAGCACCACCTTAGGTTTAGCATTGTCGTCTTCAGTTGCTGGTGCCACCGCCTTTTCATTAGTGGCGGGATCGTCAGCCTCGTCATCTATTTCAATTTTGATCGCCTTCGGCTTGTCTTCATCGTCAGCGTTAGTCGCATCGTCCGGTTTCAGCAAGCTTTCCATTAATATTTTTTTGCCAAAATGCTTTAACATGTTCTTATCGACCGCACTAAGCGATAAGCATATAACACCCAGCAGAGCAGAGGAGTGTTCCTGGTAGGGAAAGTCCACAAACTGAGGCCACATTTCCAGGCGCTGTGGATACTCCTTCATGACCTCAGGCCATTCTTCGGGCACCTTGTAAAGTTTGCGATGCTTGGTCAACTCGGCGCCGCCCTTCACGAAAGCTATTTTGGGCACATGGATGCCAACAAGGCAGAGTATAGCTGTTCGCATGATGTGCGTGGCGCATGCATCCCACACAAAATCCTCCAGATTGTTAAGCATGAATTTGGATATGCGTAGAACAAATTGGCGGCACTGTTCACGATGCTCCTCGCTAAATTCGGTCTCCAAATTGTACTGCTCTTCGATCTGCGCGGCATCGGGCTTGGCTTTCTTGGCTGGGTCGGAAACATCGTCTTCTGACGGTTCCCGAGCTGCTGTCTGTCCCAATCCTCGCAGAAATGCTATTTCCACCATTTTTTGCAGAACATGCGATGCAAAAGGATCGGAACACATGGGACGCAGGCTGTCGCCGAATTTGGTAAAAAACCTTTCAAGCTGTGGAGCTTCCACAAATCCAATAAGAGACTCAAGAGCCTTGGAGACAACTTGATTGGCAGCCAAGTCGATTTCGTGGTCCTTTGTCTGCTCGAACACGTTATTGGCCATATTGACTATAGGAACAACAAAACTACTCTAGATTTTCACAGCATTCAAGCAATTGCCACTCACCTCGCTCTTCCACATCTTCGAGACCTGCCTTCATGGCATCCAAGATGTTTATAAAATAGTTGAATTGATCACCATCAATATGAGAGCCGCGTCCAAAAATACCTTGTTTGGCAAAGCCTTTTGCATTGCGCATAAATTTCTTGCCCTTCTTCTTGGGCCTTTTACGTTTGCCACTGTTTTCAGTTGGCATGATCGTCTATTATGTTGCTTTTAAGTACAAACGAAAACTCAATTACAACGTGCGCCGTACAACACGCGTTCCGATAGGGCAAGCCGATGTGAGCCGATTGTTATCGCTGCACGGCGTTGCCAGACTGTAATCGTTTGTTTTTAGCAAGCGTTCATCACTAATAACTACAACAACAAGCGTCGCTTTACAAGCAAACGGTTTTAAAATGGAAGAGACGCACGATTTTCAGTTTATTTTACCAATAAAAAACAATGATTTACTTAATTCACGCGGCGATCAGTACTATGTACAACAGATATACACGCCCAGCGAAATACCAGAGCAATTACTGGGTAAGCGGACTGTTACTTTTTGTATGCGCAGCTGCGCGCCTGTAATTCAAACAATCACGTACAGTAAAACAAACGCTAACTGCAATCCGTTTATTTGCAGCATGTAAAAATAAAGTGCATCAGCGTGATCCATTCTATATATTCGAGCACTTTGATACATACTACTCGATAATTGAAAACACTGCTAGCGATGCCGCCGCCATACGCAATCTGATGCGTGCCTTTGACTTATTGTACCTTACCGTGGACAGATTGGGCGGGCAGCTAATGCCGCTGTTAACGAGCAACGAGCCGCCGTCAACGCAGGATCGTGTGCGCTATCTGAATCTCACGAAAATGACCCTATACTTATTTGTTAACGTAGTGAAGCGCATTGACGTCGTTGTCCAACAGGTGATGCGGGACCAGCAGTTGAACCAGCAGAAAAAGCGCGCCAAGCAAGGCGAGGTGCTGGAACAGTATCCCGATTGGGATGTAAAGCGAGGCAAGTTTCTGGTGCAGCTTTATAATGTCCTGCAGTGTCCTCTAGAGAAGCTCTGGAATCCCCCTGTAGCCGAGGAAAGCTTTGTAACGTAAGTATAAGATATCGCCCAGTTAAATGATTATTTTTTAAACAGCAGCTCCCTCTTACAGCATGTTGTGTGATATTTGTTACCGTACTTTGGAATTGGTGCCGCCTCGGCTGGATAACCGGCATATTATTGACACGATCTTTCAAATCTTTGGCATCGCCATCAAACGGTATAACCATGCCATAACCTTTCCGGCTAGGATACTGCAAATTCTCCGGAGTACTGAGCATGCTGCAACGGCCGTAGCGAGTGGCATTTTATTGCTTCACGAAGAATACGGCATTTCCACAGTCTTCTCGATACTGATGAAGGATGTTGTCGAGGCCCTCACCCTGGACACTTCGGATACTGCGGTCTCGCGTAACTTTTCGAATTTTCTTGCCGAGTTCTCGGGTATTGCACCCAAGCTGATGATACCACATCTTTCTAAGCTGGGCGACGAAATGCTGGACTGCGAATCACATGTGCTGCGCAACTGTGTACTGCAGATCATGGGTGATGCTGTTGTGGGTGAACTTACCTCTGAAGAACTCGACGATGATATGAAGGAGGCGCGCAACGAGTTTCTCGACAATCTGCTATCCCATGTTAACGACATATCCGCTCATGTGCGCTCCAAGGTGTTGCATATTTGGCATCATTTGAAGGAGCAGCATGCAATTCCGCTGAGTTTTTTAATCAAAGTGCTGCGCGAGGCCGTGTGCCGGCTAGAGGATAAAAGTTCCTTGGTGCGTAAGTCGGCCATACAGCTGATAAAGGCTTTTCTCGAAAACAATCCGTATTCTGGAAAATTAACACTTGAGGAGCTAATTAAGAAGCACGAGAAGGAAGTTGAAGTTATGGAACAGTTGGACGAAGTGTTGGCTGAAGAGCGCAATCAGTTGAAAAAGCTCGACGAGCAATGGGAAGCCATAACGCCGGAGTTGTTGCCCATTATTGAGGAAAACTTGCGTATGGGTAAGTACGCTTTTTGAACCTCAGACGCCATATGCTATCATTTCACTGACCTTTCTTTATTCCTAGCTCCAGAGCTACAGTTCGACAAGGAGGAAGAGTACGAGCAGCTGGTGCAAAAGATATTGCCGCTTCTTTTAGAAAAAAACTACAAGGAAGCCATAGTACTGGTGCGAAAAGCAGACTATGCAGCGGGCAATCAGGATATAAGGTCGGCATTTAATAGCTCCTAATTAAATATGTCTAAAGTCTATTATTATCTTTATCCATAGCCAACTGTTGAAGCCAGAGGAGCGTTGTGTTTATATTTTAGCGCTATTTAAAACCTTTCTCTCCCTTGCCAATGGCTGCAAGGACAGCGTAAGTGCCGAAGCTTTTCTAAAAAGATGCAGTACATTTAATGCCAGTCTTTTGTTTATCTAGAGCGAGGAAATGCAGAAGCAAATAAAAACTGTTGAGTTTCTCAAGGATAGCATCGAGTTCTCGCATGTGGCGACCTCCGCCATGCCAAAAATACTCGAAATGCTGTTGTCTAAGACGAACACAGACGTCTTCGAGGCAGTCGATCTTTTCACTACAGGCTACCTCTTTGGTATACACGGCACCCAGACAGGCATGCAGCGCATGTTGAATCTGGTGTGGTCCTCAGATAAGGAGAAGCGGGATGCAGTATCCAATGCGTATCGGAAGGTGCTCTTTACCACGGATAAGACAGAACGCGCGCATGCCATTAAGGTTGTGCAAAATCTATCCAAGTTTCTCTCCGAGGTTGAGTACGGGCACTACACGGCCATGGAAACGCTGATGGGCGAATGGGTGGCCACCGAAGATATTGATGCGCTCATCATTCAGGTGCTATTCGAACGATTTACGCTCAAGCTGGAGGGCACCACAAAAGATGAGGCCCGATTGGCTCTGCAGCTGCTTATTATGGCTTCGCAGGCAAAATCAACTATAGCCTCAGCCAATCGTGCCCTTATCGAGGATATTGCGACGGGAGAGCGTGTGAGACAGGATCCTCGCATCTATACCAGCTGCCTTCAACTCCTGGTCAACAGCATCGATGCGAACAACAACAGCAAATACTATAAACGTTGCGCCACCGATGCCAAATTCGTGCAGCAAATTACGCGCCTGTTTCTGGACTTTTTCTTTCATCCCCAACTGCCTGACTTTGATGCGCTGGCCATGAGCCTGTTCGAGTACTATTATCGCATGTGCCAGGCGCCGGATGAGCTGGCTCAGAATATTGTGAGCGAGCTGATTGGGCGCTTCAATGACCACTGGCTGGTAGTAGCAGAGCCTGAGGAGCCACCGCAAACGCAGACTACGGACATTCCATACTCACAGCCGCTGCCCATGTCACAGACTCTAACACAGACCCAGACACAAACTAAAGCTGTTGAAAACCAACAGGCCCGCATTCCCGTTTATTTGGTTTCAAGGTTTGTGTTTTGCGTTGGTTACATGACCATCAAGGAGATGATATTTCTGGACATGGATGTCTACAACAACATGAAGTACCGTGAAGAGTTGACCGCCCTCGAAGAGAAGAAGAACAAAAAGGACGCTGTGAACGCAGTCCGCCGCCAGACCATGAATGTCTCGGCAATGGAGGTGCGGAAGCGTTTGTCGGGCGTAGCCGCGGAGCCGCAGCAGGAGCCCGACGACGATTTAGTGGGTGCAACAGCAGAGGATAACATTGCCGAGGAAATCAATGCCATCTGTGAGGACATGCTGTTGTATGAGCCGAATGCGCTCATGTCCAAGATCTACCCGATTATAATTGATATATGCAAGCGGCCTGGGGAGTATCGGGATCAGCAGCTGCAGCAGGCAGCTACCCTAACACTGGCGCGCCTGATGACGGTCTCGTCCAAGTTCTGCGAGTCGAACATGTCCTTCCTCATGAATATCCTTAATATGACCAAAAATTTGAAGATCAAGTGTAACACTGTGGTGGGTCTCTCGGATCTGACATTCCGTTTCCCGAACATAATCGAGCCCTGGACAGGCCACTTTTACTCTCAGCTGCACGAGGAGGACACCGAGCTTCGCCTGACCGCCGTCAAGATGCTTTCTCATCTGATCCTGCATGAAATGATACGCGTCAAGGGACAGATAGCCGATCTTGCACTGTGCATTGTCGACGAAAGCGATGAGATCAGGAATATTACACAACAGTTCTTCAAGGAGATTGCCAACAAGTCGAATATACTGTACAACGTGCTGCCCGACATTATCTCTAAGTTAGGTGACATTAATCTTCACCTGGAGGAGGATAAATATCGCACAATTATGCGCTATATACTGGGACTCATTCAAAAGGATCGCCAGATCGAGACGCTGGTGGAGAAGCTATGTCTGCGGTTTCCGGTCACTCGCGTGGAGCGTCAGTGGCGCGACATTGCCTACTGTCTGGGCCTGCTGAGCTACAACGAAAGATCGATTAAGAAGCTAATCGACAACGTGCAACATTTCCGTGACAAGGTGCAGGTGGATGAGGTCTACCAGTCCTTCAAGCTCATTATCAGCAATACTTCAAAGCTGGCCAAACCGGAGCTCAAAGCCGTAGTTACGGAGTTTGAGACGCGCCTTAACGAATGCCTGCAGGTCGTCGAACCAGGCACGAGTTCCCAATCCGAAAAAGGTCCCAACGAAACGCGTGCCAACAAGACCAGGACCGCGAAGCCAACTACCAAACAACGCGGACGTGGAACACGCGCGGCAGGCAGCAACAGGCGTGGACGAAATGCGCGGCAGGAGAGCAGCTCCGAGCAGGACAGCTCCGAGGATGATGGCTCCGACAGTGATGAGGCGCCCCCTGCGCCTCGCCAGCAAGCGCAGAAAAAACAACAACAGCGTGGCAAGAACACAGCTCCCTCGTCTGGCTCCAGTGAAGAGTCCGAGCAGGAAATAAGCCAGCGCAACAGCAATCAAAGCTCTCGGCGAGCGCGTAAATGATATCATCTGCAAGTTGTGCAAACTTTTTATACTTATATTATATTTTTAGACCTAACTTGTACTATGTCAATAAAGTGGCCACTTGGAGCTCTTAAATACATGCCTTTGCATTTACCTCCGGATCTAAGCTACTTTTTGTCAAGATAGAATGTTGACAGGCGCTGACAGATTAGGAGTAACAGGAATACACACACACACACACATTCCATGTGTGTTGCACTAATCTGCTTTGTAGCAATTCATAAATGTTCATTGAGTCCCGTTGCCTCTATTCTCTATTCTGAACATCGTTTAATTGTAATCCCCTTATATTGTCACCTTCGTGGAAGCAGCTCGGCAGCCGTCGAGGTGCATGTTTTGCCCTGGATGTGGTTCAGCGTGTGTGTTAGAAGGCGTAGCTTGGCTTTTGGAGCAGGTACACGGCGGATTCTTTGGCATTTAAGAGGAAAGTGATTTGTGAGCCCTTAAAGAGGATTTTATCGTATTGTCCACAACTATTATTGAAGTCAACATTTAGAAAATCAATCAATATAATGGCAAACTTGACCTGATAAACGAATGGGCGTGATTCCTAGAAAGCTTAAATATCGGTTGAAAGATTTTTCTGTTTTATATTGTATTGCATGTTAAAAATAATTAAAATTTTTTTTTAATTCAGCAGAACTATTCGTTCCTAGTCCTAAAACTTTCTAAATGCTATCTTTACTAACTTTGGTGCTTATTGTTCGATCCTTATGAATTATTTAGGGCTTCAATTTTTCAAAAATATATTTCTTTTCTATAACAGGGGACGGTATATTAAAGACGAAGCTGGCCTAATTTTCTTACATTGATTTATAGCTTCTTCTTACTGATTGGGTATCAAAGTACAGCCGTAAGAGCTTGGAAGTTGAAATTTTCGCTGTAGTTACCTTATGTGATGTAGGTGCACGTTAAGACGGGGTTTCGGGTATATAAATACTTTGGCATATAAATACTTGAATACATATTTATACATATGCATGTAAATATACATGTAAATATGTATGTACATATGCATGTAAATATGTATGTACATATGCATGTACACATGTATTTGCATATGCATGTATACATGTATGTACATATGCATGTACATATGTATGTACATATGCATGTACACATATATGTACATATGCATGTACACATGTATGTACATATGCATGTGCATGTGTATGTACATATGCATGTGCATGTGTATGTACATATGCATGTGCATGTGTATGTACATATGCATGTGCATGTGTATGTACATATGATGTGCATGTGCATGTGTAATTACATATGCATGTACACATGTATGTAAATATGCACATGTATGTATACATGTATGTACATATGTATGTAAATATGCATGCACATATGTATGTAAATATGTATGTATGTACATATGTATGTATGTACATATGCATGCACACATGTATATAAATATGCATATGTATGTACATATGTATGAACATATGTATGTATGTACATACATATGTATGAACATATATATGTCCATACATACAAAAAAACAATAACAAAAAAAAAACAATAACAAATAAATAACAAAAAAAAAAAAAACAATAACAAAAAAAAAATATCAAAAAAAAAAACACCAAAAAAAATATTAGACTACTTGATAAACAGCAGAGCCTACTTGAACTTTTGAGAATCGAGGAGGAGGGCACTTGGTATAAATTCGTTTTATTTAAAATTGTAGCAGACCAACAAATTAACTTGGTGTGCGTTTGCTATTAGAAAACAAACACCCATACATGCATATATACCTTAATACATACATACACTAACACATACACACGCACGCACACACACACACACACACACATACACACACATACACACACATACACACGCATACACATACATAGGTAGCCGTCATCAATGTGCACAGGGTAAAATTATAATTTTGCGTGCAATATACGTTAATAATTGCGAGTGGGTGTGTGTATTATATTTTATATGGAATTCAATGCCGCAGACTATTTTAAATTGTACACAAAAAGATAACAATTTAAGGCCGTTAATTAAATTATGCACAATGTGGCCCGCAAGATAAAAGAAGTCAAAATATTTTGTAACTGGATACTCGATACTCAGCCTCAATCAGAGACGCCGTCCCAGTCAGACACGTGTGTGTTGTTGTCCGGGCAACGGGGGTGGCTGGGCGTTGTGGCGGCAACGGAGTCTGCACCAGTCAATCGGCAAATCATCGAGAGAGAGCTGCCAAGTCAGCCAGCCAGCCAGCCAGTCAGGCGACAGCCACCCCCAAATGGCTATCCATCCGGGGTAGAGGCAACCTGGCTCCGGCCATGGTAACATTGCGTCGGCTGCCAGTTGCCAGTTGCCAAGCGCCGCCCTCCAGTCGAGACCGTTGCCGGGTGGCGTGGAAGGGTCACCAGCACAAGCAGACGTTGGTGCCATTAACATGCTCATTACATATGTCGCGACTTCGGATGAGCAAGAGGCGCGTGTGGGACGTGCGCGAGACGCACGCGCGCCCCGCAGACGGCTGACAGCCCATTATCCATGGCTATTAGCATTAGCGGGTTTACCTGTCGGCGCGGATTAGTGCTGTCTGTGGTCAGATTTTCCTAATGTGGACAGCGAGTGTCTTCAGCCGGGCTGCAAAGCCAACATCAATCTGTAATGCTTCGGCTTCTTCGGTTCGTAAGCCTCATTTTCTACATCTATTAGCACAGGGTTCGGTTCGACTCATTGTACTTAAAAAATAATAATTATTTTCGATCAAACTATTTTTTAACAAAATATGATTCGATTCAGATTCATTCTCGGGTACCTTCAGTTACAAATCGGTTCGGTTCAATCTCGTTACGTTATCATCCGATATTTGGAGGTAATATTTAGTGATAAATTCGTTAAATGTAATTATTTATATTTTTCATATATTTAAAAATAATAATTATAAATACATTGAAAATAATTTAATAGAATTTATGTATAATTTTTGCACATTTCAATTTGATTTGCATTTGCAGTTGGGCAGAGAACGGCCAATCAATCGTTCATCCTTACATCCATCCGGGCCATACCAGGACAACAGATTCTCTGTTCCGTTCCCCAGCCCGCCCGCTCTAAAACTAAAGCCTAGCTATTTACACAGATCAATGAAGTTTAAGTAATCCATTCTTTTGCTAATCGAGGATAAGCAACAGAATATGCTGCACTCCCCTCTACCCCCCTCTCTGTCTGTTTATCTGTCTGGTGTCTTGGTGATATTGAAAAATGCCATATTATGCGCAAGTGCTACTATTTCATGATTAATTAAAACTTGTTGCTGCTGCTATCTTGATCTTGATATACACGAATCATCTTCGAGGATGTGAACTCAATTATTGCTGCTTCAGAAGTAAAAGCTTTCCGGATGCTGCTGCTGCTGCAGCTGGCTGCGCTGCTGGCGTTGACGCAGCATAGCTGGCCATTCGCAGGGCATGTTGCTGTTGCCGTTGCCGTTGTTGTTGCTGCTGCTGCTGTTGTTGCTGCTGCTGGCAGCAGCAGCAGCCTCCAACTAGAATCATAAGTGCTGATACTCGCCCATATCGTACATGGGCATGGCGCCCATGACGCTGTGCAGATGCGAGTAGGCAACGGCGGCGGAGAGCGGCGGCATTTGGGAGGCGGCCACAGCAACAGCTGCTGCTGCAGCGCTGCTTTTGCTCGCTGCCGCTGCACTGGCAGCATGTTGCTGATGCTGATGGTGTTGCAGGCTCTGCTCGGCAGCAACATGTTGCAGTTGCTGCTGATGCTGATGCAAGCTGTTGCTGTTGTTGCCGTTGCTGTTATTGTTATTGATATTATTGTTGTTACCGCTGCTGGGCGACTGTTGCTGCTGTTGCGAGTGATGCGAGTGATGCGTGGCGGCTGCGTGTTGCTGTTGTGCGCTCTGACTGGACAGCATGTTGCCCTCCATTTCTGAATCGCTGGACGAGTCCAAGTGTTGTTTGTCCGTAGAGCCGCTGCAAAGATACAAATTAGAAAAACATATACATTTAACAGTCGTTAATGTGTTACTATATTTTGGGGTAATCAAATATTGCTTCAGGCAATTAGTATTTTCGAGGACAGTATTTTAGTACTAGTTTTTGGTTATTTAAGTTACAGTAAATTTCTTCTGTTGCTAATTCAGTTATTTTCTAGGAAACAATTGAAATTTTAAACGGATTTAGCTATTTTGTGGCACCTCAATGACAAGCTGTTTTATTGCTTATTTGCGCTCAGAAACTAATTCAGTTATTTATAGCTTTTTTTTTAACATTGGATTCGGTATTTTTCTTTTGTTTGGCAGTTGACAGCACGTGTGGCTGTATATTAAAAAAAAAATTAAGAGTAGCCAGATTAGATGCTTTATGTGTGACCAGATTGTCAAAAGTGAAAATACATGTTCGCAATTTTAATTATGTTGTTAGGCATTTAATTTCTTATGAGTGCTGTCACAACTCAACGAAAATGACATAATGTTGCATAATCCTTAGAGTTCCCCGCCCGCCGGATTGAAAGGCTGCTGAACTTTGCCTTCAAAACAGATGTCAGCAATCGTTTAAATGAAAATGTGTCAATTGCTGTAACTAATTTACTGCTTTCAGCAGCAACAGCAACAATTACAACACACGCTTACATATACATACATCAGTTAAGTGTGTATATTTATAAACAAATGACAAATGACAGGGCGGGCAATTGAAAATAAAACCGGAAGGAAATTGTCTGCTTGAATATTTTTACTCTCCACGCCAGCATTTCTATAAATGGTTTCGGTTTCACATTCGGGCAGCAGCAGCAGCGTGAGCTAGAGCAGGACAGCACGTACGAAAGGTGTCGCGGGGCTCACACACACACACACACACAGGCAAACACGCCCACACATTCATATAAACAAACACGAGAGGGGGCAGCTCAGTGCATTCCCCCATAGAGCGCCGCCGCATCTGATTTCAGTTATTTGAGCTGCGCCTGGTGTCTGTGTATGTGTGTGTGTATGTGAGAGCGTGTCTGTAGTTTATACATCGTTCTCGCTCGCACCTTTGATCAAAAGTTAAGCAGCTTGACTTTTATTATTTGCGGCTGATTCTGTAAATGACTTTCAAGTGTCGTTTTTATCGCCACCGTTTGCCAGGGTGGAAGCGAGACACTCATTTGCTGGCCCAATTCCAGACACCGCTGGGAATTGAAAACACACACACACACACACACACACACGCATGCACTAACACACTTCTGTTGATGTGTTGTTCGTGTTGTTCAATTTGTTAGTGCTAAACTGTCCTGACATTTTAATGGCTAATTCACTGCCAGAGCGATAACAAGGCGCATTTGAAATTCGAGCAACTGACATTATCGGCCCAGTGCCGAGTGCCGGGTGTGTTAATCTTAATCTTGTCGCGAATCCCAATTGCAAACGTACCCAGAACCAGTTTCAAAAATTGATGACAACAAACATCGACGGCGACGGAGGCGGAGAAGGAGGAGGAGGATGAGGAGAGGCGACAAGGGTCCAGGGCCATGCAAAACATTTAAGCGCACACTCGACAAATTTGTGGCCAGAGATCATTGGGAACGATCTGCCAGATCAGCTACAGCCTGTAACCATTCCTCGCCCCCCTGCACCCTTTTCTGCCCGCCTGGCACAATCCATGCAAGTTATTTGCTGACTCGCGCGCAATTCGAGCCGAGCCTGAAAAACCCAGTTGCAGACCTGGAGCTGCGCCGACGCGTCGGCCACATACGGCGCAGTCGCAGACGCAGACCCGCAGACTAGCTGGCATCTCGAATGGGCAGCCAGCTGTTCGCTGTCCGGCATTGGCGGCAATCGTGTAATCGTAGATTCTACTCGCATCCATCTACATTTGCAGTCAGCCACTTGCAGCGCTTGATAATTGCCAAGCTGTCCATTTTGCATCTTTCCCAGCCTGACACGCGGATCGGGTGGCTGGGGCACACTTGCCAGATTCGTTGGGGGTGGGCTTGTTATTGTACAATTGGGCATCGAATACTTGATTATGTTGCAGTTAAGAGCTGGCATGGCATCTCAAATGATTGTCACAAGATCTTACTATGCTTCTACATGTGTGAGTATATACTCAGTCATTTTCTAAATAATTCAATTTCTTTCGATCTGAAGAGCCTCTTCAAATACTATTCCGATATTTATTAAACAAGTAACTTTAAGCACAGTTCGTTTGTTCTTTGTAAGATTATTTGAATAGGCTTTTTTTTATCTCATTTTCCAAATTGGTTATCTTTTATTCTTATTATTCCTTATACTTTGTTCTTCCGTATAGTACAGATCAGATAGTTCAGCTAGAACAAATCAGATTCAACATTTCTTTTATATCTCCGCATGCTTTTTTCAAAATTGCAAAAGTTACATTCTAAGGGGTATATCCTCCAATATACATGATTTCGATTTCACACATTTAAGAAATGAATGAAACGAATGAAAGTCGTGAAATGTTGTGAAATCCATTCCTTAATCAAATCTCAAGCTCATACAAAAGTTTCCTACTTCACTTTCCACCTGTATTCCACGCACCGAGACGGATTTTGGAAAATGAAAGCCAGCCACAAACTTTTAATATAATAACATCGCACAGTTTTTAAAGTTATTTTTAACAGGCAAGAAATTACATTATTGGAAAGATAGAGACTTTTCTCAGGCTATTTGAAAAGTTTACAATATTTTTCAATAATCAATTCAGTTAAACTTAGTTATAGAAGTGAACTTTAGCAAAAAATTTAAAGGGCAGCAAATTGTGTTTGCCTGCTTCTGAAGAAAATCGATTGTGGCGGGGAGGGGAGCGAACCCACCCGTAAAGTACAAACACAGATCTACACGCAAACAGGCTGAACAAACATAAAGCTAACCTCAAAATGAGAAATGGCTAAAATGCTGGAGTAGCCATGCCCAGCCCTGGCCTCAGCCAGTCAGCCGAGCAAAAGTGGGGAGCAAACAAAGGGCAGCAGCATATAAACAATGATATCAAATTTCCAGAATTTCATAGTTGTTGGCCATGCTCGCTGCTGTCTCTGGCTTACTGCAACACTTATTAACACGGCCAGGGACAGGAGAGAGATGGAAAGAGAGAGAGAGAGATGGAGAGAGCGGGCGTTTGAGACAGCGCCTACATTCGAGTATTTTCAACTGATTGCATTATCAAATATATACATCCAAGTCTTATAAGTCAGCAGCCTTCGCGGTAGCTGCGTCCCAAGGACAATCCCTCAATACACGATTGTCACATAGAGTTTATATAAAATATATGACAACAACAAGAGGCGAGAGTAGCAAAGCCTGGTCAAGAGTTTGGGGCAACGTGTGTGTGGTCCCGGCTGAAAGTTCTTGGGGCTTTTTTCTGGGCGCTGCTCAGTGATGAGGAATTAATTTTTACTTGTTTTGCTCAATTGGGTTTCTGTAGTTTTAAGCCACTTTTGGAGCTGCATTAAGCAGATTCATTAGCTCGGCAATAATGGATGATCGGATTATGGGGGGCTTGGCCAGCTCTGTTACCCGAACTGCGAAAACGAGTGCGATCACGAGTGCAAGGCTATGGAGTAGTAGGATGGATTCAACTGAACCGGTTCGGATTTGGAATTTAAAGTTGACTGAAAGAAGAACCAGCGGAACTAAAACTTGTCGACAAATAGTTTTGTTACGCTTGAGTCTGGATTAGACCGAACCGGTTCGGAATTGGAATTTAAAGTTGACAGAAAAACGAACCAACCGAAAATCGAACAGAACTTAATTTTATTGACAAATGGCTTGGTAACAATTTAGTTAGCCCAGACCCCAAAACTTAAATAAAATAGATGTCTATCATTGTATATATATATTATTTATATACATGTTTAATTGGAAGTTGCCATTTTTATATAGAGCAAAAGTTTGGCAGAATGGAAAATTCTATTTTAATGGTTTTATTAACACTCTGAAAAAGTGTGACAAATCAGATTCATGAACTTAAATCAAACAAATGGAACTAGTTCGTACCGTTAAGCGAACCAGGGACAGAATCCATTATGGGCTTGCAGCCCTAGCTAGAATTCATGTAGAGGCTTAGCTCCTTCTATTATAAACATTATTCAGATGCTTAACACTTTACACAGATGACAATCGGGCGACTGAAATCTTATCGGGCAACCATCTGGTGTGGCATGCAATTAAAAAGCAACAAAATTATTAAAAAACTGTCAAAATAAAGCGCAGCCAGCATAAAATGCGCCACACGCCAACCGAACGGAATGGGCCAGGCCATAAGATAAAATACTTTATAACGATGGCAACGATGACTTTTTGGTTAATCGTTAAGATCTACACGCAACTCATACATACTGGATTATGGAGGGAGAGAGACCCTAACCGAAACCGAAACTGAAACTGAAACTAAAGCTGAAAGCGAAACATAGTTGTAGACAATGGGACAATGCTTGGGTACAACTCTACTACTAGATCGAGTCGAAGCTCAGGCCCCAGACTCGAGTTGTCTCAACTCCAACTCGAACAACAACAACAACACGCCACACACATGCGTAAATTAAATGATAATTTATGATCAACACCTTTTCAGATTCTTCTTATGGCCCTCTCTCCGACTCGGGCCCAGGCCCAGGCCGGGCACCGTTTAGTTGGGTGTCCTGCTGCGCACACGTCTCGGGATTTGTGTACCGATCTCGCAATGCGATAACTCAACCTGTTCGTTGATGCCCTGGCCTGCACTTCGATCGATCGTGATCCCCAGCTCTTCGAATGGGGGCTTCAGTTTATGAAACAGCGTTTCATTTTTCCCAACTGCCTTGCTGTTCATATATATCTGTGTGTGCGTGTGTGTGTGTGTGTGTGAGTGTGCCTGTTTATTTGTTTTTACGATTTATTGGCTTATAATTTTTATTAGCAATGGAATTTCTTGGAAATCCTGCAACGATCTACCATATGATGTGTCGTTCTGGCTACCCCTCTATCCGA